ATTTGTCTTGATATTTACTCTGTGTGAATCTAAAATTACTTTATATTTGTTAAAAGAATAAGTGCTCATGTTTTCAACTTCGAGCCACTTGACTAACCAGAAAAATACAGTTTAATAACTTCAGTTTGTATCAATTTGCCAATTTTTAGTTTTGCTGCTTGGTTGAAATGTATCTTGTGGTACGCTCTGTATCTGATCTTCTTGGTAGGGAACAAGCGAACTTTTGGTGCTTTGATAGAGGTCTGGTTTTATATGCACTTTGACCCATGTGTATGTGTCTAGTAATAGTGGCTGAATAGTTTCTTCTTAGTTTTTCGTTTTCTCTATTTCGGAGGCCACATTTTGGGGGTTGAGTTTTGTGCTAGGATGTGGTTTATTTAATCTTACATGTAGGTATTTGAGAGGTGTTAGGTTTTTATTAATTTTGCTAATTATAAAATATCTTCCACTTTACCTTAGGTGACTCTCGGCTTTGTTATCTTTATACCATTAGGTTGCATGGGATGATCCTGATGTTCTCCAGAATTCAAAGAGAGTGAGCCCATGGCAAGTTGAAATTGCTTCCTCCTTACCGCTTCATTCCTCATTTCCTTTGGCAAATAAGTCCAAGCTTTCTCGTGAGTCTGGGCTTACTGATTCAAAGGGAGAAATCTTATTCCCTATGACAGGGTTAACCAATTCAACAATGAGCTACATGAATCCGTCACTGTTGAATTACAATTATTTTCCTGCTGGCATGCAGAGAGCCAGGCAAAATCATTTTCACGTGCAAGGTTCAGCCAACTATGTGAGTGAGAATACCCCAATGATGTTCACTGATAGATTCTCTAGCAATTTTTGGCTGCCCAAGTTGAATAGGATATCCACTGAGCTTAACATTGGCAGTTCACAGTCCAATAACTTGTCACCAGATAGCCAGAGCAGCATCGTTTCGTCTGGCACAAAAGTTATTGAAAATGTTGGCTGCAGCTCAATCAAAGTAGGTGTTAGCTCTTTTCAATTGTTTGGCCAGATAATTCATCCTGTTGGAAGCATATTTGGTAATGTTGGTTGCGTGGAAGCTGATAGCGGTGAAAGATATGATGGTGCTGTGAGTGAAAAAAACACATTAGATCTATCTTCAACTTATGGCTTTTCGAAGCTGCTTGACAGGATTGACGTCCAATGCGAGAGAGCTTCAGCTTTCAAAGGCTTTTCTCTGTGAATGAACCCATACCCACATCATCACAAGTATCTGTTTAGGTATTGTTTCTCTGATTGGATTTCACAAGTTAATCATGCTACGATTTGGATGCATAAGTGTGTTGTTTTTATTGTCTAAGTTTTAGCCATTTTTTCCCTTTTATATAATATTTAACTTCACATGATGTACTTTCCATTTGTGCGTCCTGGACTTACAAAGGCAACCATTATATATTGGGCATCCTGTTCCTCTAGAAATGCTCTACTTTTTGTTGTTAATTTGTTATGCCACTGTGGTTATAAATCATTCTCTTAGTTTGCTGTCATGCATTTTGGTATCCTTGGCCTTGTTTTGAACTTTTATTTTCATATTCACTACTATGAAGATTAAACAGAATATTCATCAGTTTTCACTAGGCTCCTACTTGCATCTTCTCAAAAAGATCACCAGGATTCATAACTGTTTTTAATCCTTTCCACCCCCGCTGACCGCCTATAAAGAACGAGTATCAAACCAAATAGTTCCCTTGTTCTTTAGCAACATTGTCAAACCCATACTAAATTGGTGAGCTAGGAAAGGGTGGAACATCAATACCAGGCTTTGATTTGGAGGCATAGAAATGTTGTCCAAGAATCACCCAGGATTGATTATTATTTGTGGTAAAGACAACCCTTTTTGAGGATTTTGAGAAAACCATTTCGTTTTTAAGCTCTGTTTTGGCGATGGGTAGTTGTTCTGGAAACTGCCACTAAGAGCTTAATAAGTAATGTTGTAGGTTACTAAAGATTAATGGCAATCTGTTATGGTATCTTAGCATGATTCTGCATGGTTAAATATATATACTTTTCTTTGAATATAAACATCATATGCTGTACTTATTTAGAGCGTCGTAATTTTGGTGTCATAATATTGTGATGGTGTAGTTTTGTATCTGTTTTTCTTGTTTAGAAGTTGATTGCTTGAATTGCACTCCATCATTTTCTGTTCTACTGTCCTCACTTGTGGTTTATTTTGCAGGAAATTTAGGGTGGGAGGAAGTTGACCCCTAATTTTACTGTTATATTCTGAGGCCTTTTTTTTTTGTTCTTGTTTTGGTATTAGTTTTGGGCAGTTGGAGACACTGTTATAAACTTGTTGACATATATGGTGTTTTAACACACTAGAGAGTTGCATTTTATTTTGAGTTTGGATTCCGAACTTGGAGCAAATCGGTTGGTTGATTTGGCTTATAATAATAATCTAAATTCCATGCTCTTTGGTTTGGTTGCTTGCTATTAGTATCTTATATAGGAAAGTCCCCTAGAAGACCGCTAATATAGAAAAGGCTAGCTTTTAGGAGTATCTTCAATTTAGCCTCTTTAAATAGTAAGGGAGAATTTGGTTCTAGGAATCTTATTTTCTTGGTGTTACTGTTAAGATTATATGATTGAATTCGGTAATCTTACATATAGGGGTTATCTCCTCTTTCCGGGGATGTTCATTTTATGAATTTTTTAAAGATTTTGGTCAGTTTACCCCTTAAAAAATAATCTTATTGAAATGAAAATATCATTTATGAAACACCATTTTCAAATAGATGCACTTAAATGAAAGCAATTACTTGATATGCTGTTATACTTTGTGTTTGAAGTCAAATATGGAATAGAAAGGAGAATTTCAATGTAGAATTAGATAGTAGTTGCTTTCATGCTTTTGTAAACTATTACAAGGACAGTAATTATCACAAAACGAAGCAAAACAAGAATCGAATGTTTATGCGTGTTAGTAGAGCTGTAAATGAATAGAACGAACATGAATGATGATATTTTCATGTTGATTCTTTTAACTTTAATCGATAGTCCGTGTTCGTTCATTAAGGAATGTAACGTATTCTTGTTCGTTCATATTTGTTTGTTAATATCATAAATGACGACAAAAGAACTCAAATGATCAAACATAAAAAGTAGCTTCCTTTTAAATCAAGCAAAAGTTCTTAGAGATTAATATAAATTTAATTAAGCGAACGAACATAAACGAATTGATTATTGAGTGTTTACGAACGTAAATTATCGAACGAGTCATTTGTTCATGTTAGTTAATTTAATCACCCAAACGAAAAATCTTGTTCATATTCGTTCCTTTAATAAATAAATAAACATAAATGATCTTCCTGTCAAACGAGTCGCTAAACGTTTGATTTATTTACAACCCTATATGTGTGTATATAGGGTTCATATCAATGGAGCTCCGCCTTTTATAAGGGATACAATCAATGAATCTACACCGTTCAAAATAGTGATTCATATCAATGCCTAGCAGAAGAAAAGTGTATGTCTTTACTCTTTATTGCGTGATTATTTATAATGTTTCAAATATGTGTTGATTGAGAGTTGTCGTGATAATAATTGGACGTCCTAAGAAATAATACTTAGACCGATCTGTCATCAAATGAAACCATATGTACAACCCTCCCTCCACTATCCCGATCATTATTCATCTTATCAGTCAACACAAACCGAGGAAATTCAACATCAAAATTGTGGAAAGAGCTACGGGAGTTACACACTAGAATCAACCACAAAGGGGATGAGGAAACTATAGAAATCAATAAGAGAAAAACAACTTGGAACAAGGAAAAGAGAGTTAAACACCTTGTTTGAGTGAACTTGTAAAACCCCAAAATTTTGTCTAGTGACTAATATTTAATTTCTAAAAGTTTAGTGGCCAAAGTATAAATTTTGGAAAAGTTTAGGAACTAAAGTGTAATTTTTAAAAGTTATGTATTTTGACCCATAAATGAATATTTCACTCCAAAGAATGGTATTTTCGTGTCTTTTAGATTTTTGATCCGGAATTTGTATTAAAGGCTATAAAGTGATAAAGTTTGAGAAAAATTAGGATAATCAGATCAATCAATTTTTTGAGAAATTCTAAAGGATGATAGGAAAAGATTAAAAATGTCATTTCCATATTCTAAATTAGTAGAATTAGCATGTATCATTGTATTTAAGATTGATTTTCCAAGTTAAACCGAGACCGTTGGATGAAAAATAAGAAGATTGAAATTTTTAGAAACATATAAGGGAAAAGTTGGAAAATTTGAATATATTTGTTCTTATTTGACATAGGATGATTTAAGAATGATGACATTTACATGTGGCATGGTAATTATCATGAATTTTTAAGGGAGTATTTGTCATTTTTCATTAAATGAATTTTTAATTAATTTTAACCATTAAAATGAAAAATGTACTTAGATATTTGATTAGAAAATTCATGAATTTGGTTTAACTTCTTCCTCCTTTGCCGTGAACTCCGTAGCAAGGTGAGAAATTTATTTTTCATTTTAGTACTACTGATATTCCTGATGGTTCTGCTTCTTTGCCTCAAGCAGTTGATTTGCCTGTTCTGCATGCTTCTTCTCAGAAGAAGAAGGCTAAGGGGAGAGGTAAAGATAAGAAGCAACTTGTTGGCTCCTCCAATCGTTTTGAGGTCCTAGTAGCTGCTGCTGGTATGGAAGGTGTTAGGAAACCCCGAGCTGCTTCTATGGGTATTGCTTCCCTTTTGAATGAAATGAAAAATAAAAAAAAAGTATGTGGGAGCTACTGTTGGAGCTGTTGGGGGGGAGATCTTACCTGCTCAATGATTGTTTGTTTTTGGAATGTCAGGGGGTTCAATAGCCCTCTGAAGCAAGTACATGTATTCTCGAAGCTTGGCAAGTTAAATGTGGATGTAATTTGCCTTATGGAAACTAGGGTGAGGACTGCCAATATTAATAGAGTTCTTGATTGTTACTCTTTGGATTGGGATATTTATTCTAATCACGAGTTCTCTGAGAATGGTAGGCTGTGGATTTTTTTGGAGGAAATGTCTCAATTTTTCTCTTTTGAAAGTCTCTGATCAATCCTTATCTCTGGTTGGTGAGGTTAGTGGTCACAGTTGTGTCATTACAGCTGTCTATGTTAGTATCAATGGGGCAAAAAGGCTGCATCTCTGGAGGCAGTTGGAAGAGGTGGAAGGTTTGGTAGATGAGTCCTCTTGGCTTGTTGGAGGTGACTTCAACATCATTGCTAATGTTGTTGAAAGTTATGACTTTGAGAGTTTAGGCCCATATGAATCTGCTGATATGGAAGCTTTCAGAAATTGTTTGTCTTCCTTAGAGCTCATTGACCACCCATTTGTGGGGCTTGTTTATACTTGGTCTAATAGGCAGGATATGAACTTCCTAGCCCGTAAGCTGGATAGAGTTCTCATTAACTCTAAGTGGCTTGAGGAATTTCCTAACTCCTTTGTTGAGTTTAAAGCCCAAGGAGTATCTGACCATTGCCCTGCTTTGGTTTCCTTCTTTAAGGAAAATCATGCTAATAGACCCAAGCCTTTCAAGTTTTTCAACTGTTGGGCTAGGCATGGGGAGTTTTTGAATATAGTAAACGAATCTTGGTAGGCTGCGGTATCAGGAACTGCCATGTGCTGTCTGTTTACTAAGTTGAAAAGGCTCAAACCAAGATTAAAAGAGCTTAATAAGTGTTATTTTGAGGATATTTCCAAAAGGGTTAAGGACAAGAGGGATCAACTTGAGCAAGTGTAGCTTGCAAATCTTTCACATGCTGGTTGCTACATTGATGAGGAGAAGAGCCTTCAAAATGAGCTTCATGACCTTGAAGTGGCTGAAGCTTCTTTCTACAAACAGAAAGCCAAAGTCTACTTACTTAGGGAGGGTGATAGGAATACAAAGTTCTTCCATTATGCTGTGATGAGGAAGAGAAGAAAGAACACTGTTAGATTGCTTTATACTGAGGATGGCTCTAGGCTGGATACTTTTGAGACCATGTCTGCTGAGATGGTGAGGTTTTATACAGTGCTACTTGGCATGGAGGACTCTTGTGTTAAAAGCTGTGATGCAGATGTTTTTAAGGGTTTGTTAGGGTATGAACTTCCCTGTGCTACTGTTGCCTCCCTAGTGAAGGAGATCTCTAATGAGGAAATCAAGGCTTCTTTGTTTAAGCAAGGTAATGAGAAGAGTCCTGGGCCTGATGGGTATACTACATACTTCTTCAAAGTGGCCTGGGATATTATTCAAGTTGATTTTTTGGTTGCCATTAGAGATTTCTTCTAGACTGGTGTCTTGCTGCCTGCCTTCAATGCTACAACCATTGTCCTAGTGCCTAAGACTCCTAATGCAGGTATGGCTAAGGGGTTTCGCCCCATATCTTGCTGCTCGGTTGTATATAAAACCATTACTAGCATCATTGTTGATCGTTTGGCTAGCTTCTTTCCAGACTTGATTTTACCGAATCAGTCTACATCCATTAAGGGTCGTAACATAGTTGATAATACCCTTTTAGCTCAGGAAATAGTTAGGGGATACTCTCGCAGCTCATTGTTCCCTAGATGTGCTCTTAAAATTAACCTTAGTAAGGCTTTTGATTATGTGTGCTGGGATTTTTTGTTGAAAGTTCTTGCTGCCTTAGGGCTTCCTGAGGAATTTAGAGTTTGGATCAGGGCTTGTATCACTGGTGCAAGGTTCTCTGTGGCATTTAATGGGAGCTTAGTGGGATTTTTTAAAAGGAGAAGGGGGATTAGGTAAGGGGACCCTCTGTCCCCTTATATTTTTGTTTTGGTTATGAATGTGCTGTCTCATTTTCTTAATGATGTTGCTTGTAATGGCCTAATTCAGTTCCATTCTAAATGCAAACGTGTCTCCCTCACCCATCTTAGTTTTGCCGATGACTTGCTTATTTTCTGTCATGGTGATGAGAGCTCTATTTTGGGTGTTGTTGGGGTTTTGGAGGTTTTCTATGAGTTGTCTGGTCTTCAGCTTAATGCTGGTAAATCTGAACTGTTTTCTTATGGGGTGCAAAATGATATCTTAAGTAGGATGCTGGCAGTAACTGGATTTAAATTGAGAAGACTCCCTGTTAGGTACCTTGGGGTGCCTTTAGTCACTAGAAAATTAACTGTCAAGGATTGAATTCCTTTGATTGATAAGATTAGAAGTAAACTGAACATATGGTCTAAATTGAAGCTGAGCTATGGGGGTAGGTTGCAGCTTATTCAATCTGTCCTGTTTAGTATTTCAAATTTCTGGTGTAGGCAGCTGGTTCAGCCAAATGAGGTCATTAGGCAGGTTAAACAGTTTTCTATGAGATTTTTTTGGAAGGGTGGTGACATTCCTGCTAGGGGCTAGAGTGATCTGGTTGCAAATGTGTTGGTTAAAATCAGAGGGTGGTTTGGGTTTGAAGAGTCTTGGTTGTTGGAACAAGGTGTGCTAATTCTTGCTGATCAGGAACATCTTAGCTAATGTAGGGTCACTTTGGGTGGCCTAGATCAAAGAATATGCTCTGAAGGGGACTGCTTATTGGGAAGTCAGTCCTAAACCTCAGTTTAGCTGGATTTTGAGAAATCTGCTTAAGCTTAGGAATAAAGCTGCTGTCTTATTTGGTAGTATAGTGAACTAGAATATGGTTAAAAGTAAGTGGGTGTGGGAGGTGTTAAGAGATAAGAGGGAAAAGGTCAGATGAGAACACCTTATTTGGTTCCCCTTACATGTCCCAAGAATGTCAATTGTTGCTTAGATGGCTGTTTTGAATAGGCTCCCTACTAAGGACAGACTCAACAATATGGGAATGGAGTTGGATGGAGGTTGTGTTCTTTGCAATGCTGGGCTTCAAGACATGGACCATCTTTTCAATGACTGTGTTTTTACTAGGGGAATTTGGAGCAAGGTGCTGCAGACTTGTAGAATCCCCCACAGGGAATTGTGTTGGAGTGATTCTTTGGCTTGGACAGTAGCCAATTTCAGGGGTAAATTTTTGTTGATTTGTATTTTGAAATTGGCTTGGATTTGCCTTTTATACTTTGTGTGGGAGGAACGCAATCTTAGGTGTTTCAGGGACTTCTCTAGGACAGCTGATGATATCTTTGAAAGTATTAGGAGATCGGTTGGGGCTAGGTTATAGGGATATAGCATAAACAAGGTTGACAATGTTAATCTTCAGCTTTGCCTGGAATGGAGCATTGGCTAGTGTTGGTGGTTGCTGATTTGCTGAGGGCTTCTTGGTTCTACATTTGCAGATGTGTGCAGGTCTATGGGCGGTTGCTTATGGGGAGCTTGCCCTTGCTTGCATTTTGCTACTTGCTTTCTTATTTTGTTTATTTTTGCTGTATTTGGTTTGGTTGTTACCTAGGTTGCTAGTAGGGGTTTGGTGCCTAATGTCTTTTAGTAGTTTGTATTGATTGTAGCACGTTTCTTTTCCTTCTTTTGGGTAATAAAATCAAATTATCCAAAAAAAGAAAAAGAAAATTAATCTAAATGAAATGAATTTCTCTATCACTTGGTATAAATTATTCATGATTTCCTTGATTTGAACCTTAGTTTCATGATGTTGAGTTAATCGATTGACGGAATCGGCCAAGAGGGGGTGAATTGATAATTAAAAATTTGGTGGAAGCTTTTGCAGAAAATTGAAAGTAATTGCACAACGATTTTTCACAAATTCACTAATTTGTCTTTCTTTTGAGGACAAAGAGTAACCTTACAAACCCTCAAGAATTATACCCCAAATTATTAAGAACACTCTCTCCCAAAGAGAACAATACAAATTTGCAAAGTTACAAGGAAATCCTCACAAGGTAGATTGTTTGCACAATTCTAGAACAAAGAAAAGAACACTCAAGAATGAATATAATTGAGTACAAGTAGTGTTCTTGAAAGAAAAATGAATATTGAATGAAAAATAGGCTTGAAATGCTCAAACTTGAGGTTTGATACTTTCTCTTTGATTCTCTCTTGATTCTAGTTGCTTGTTGTTTCTTGTTCTTGATAAATGGCTTCTAAGCTTGTTTAAATACACCTTCAAATGATTCTAAACGTTGGGGATGATTAGTTGAGTCAATAGATTCGTTTAAGTGTGAAAACAATTAATAAATTCAGTTGGGAGCGTCAGTGCATCGATCCATACCCATGGTGCATCAGTGTAAAATTCAAATATTTTGACTGTTGAACCCTTAGTGCATCGGTTCACTAAGAGTGCATCGATGCATCAAGTGCATTCGATGTTTAAAAATAGCCAGAGTGCATCGATGCATGGCTGGTGCATCGATGCATCAAATGCATTCGATGTTTTCATAAAATCCTCAGTAAATCGGTGCATGGTATGTGCATCGATGCATGAAATGCATTCGATGTTCAATTTAATTCATGGTGCATCGATGCATGGATTAGTGCATCGGTGCATCACTCTGAAAAATTGATTTTAGGCTTGATTTTGGTTCAAAATACTTTGTGAAAATTGTTTCAAAAATATATTAAGTATAAAACACAATTTTACACATTTAGTAAGGTTTGAAATTGATCTTAAAAGACTTGGAGTAATAATTTGATATTCGATTAATTGAATCGAATATACTTAGAAAATCATTTGTAAAATCTTAAAATTCATTTAAACTAATTTGTTATATCGAAACACAAAAATGTTTTCAACACATGGATATGGTGGATGAAGGGGAGGTTTTATTTTGATGTTCTATGGATATATTTTGATGTAGTTAATGACATAAAATCATTTCCATGCTTTCATGATGATTGAAAACCATTAGAATGGTTAAATCCCATTTCGACCAAGACTTGGGTTTTTGTATAAAATTTAATTTGGATTGAATCAAATTGGAAACCATTAGAAATGATTTTTAGAGGTTGAATTCATGCTTGAATCAAATTGGAAATCATGCAAGTGTTGCCTATGTATATTTGACCCATATGGAAAAAAATGAGAAAATTATGGAAAAATTTCCCTAAAGTTAGAAATGATGAGTAAATGATTCTACAAGCTATAGAATGTTGTTTGACCAATTTCTATGTTTTCAAAGTCATAGGGACCGATTCACATATTATGGACATTGTGGGATTTAAATGGAAGTTGGTTAAAAGTTGATGTCCTAAGCTTGAATGCATTGCTGGAATGCTTGAATATGATATTAGGTGCTTGAATTTGAAGTTAAATGGCAAGGGACCATTTTCAATAATTTGGAAATGTTGAGATGAATACTAAAAGAATTCATTTTAATGATTGAGATGAAATTTAAAAATACAATGTGAGCTATTGATGAATACGAATAGTAAGGGACTAAAATTGTCATTTTGAATTATTAAAGTTAAAGTTGACGTTTACAAGAGGAACTAGGATTGAATAAATATCGAAATAATTTCTACAAACTTATTTGTTAGTATGTGCCTATGTTAATATGATACTAACATATGCTTTGAATTGTATATGTTTGGTAATGGCAATTATATAGATCGTGATCGATATACAAGCAAGCTTAAAAATAAGGAAAAAGCACAATAGTGAAGTTATATCGAAAGTAAGGTTTACTAGTGAGGCATCATGTGAATGTATTCTTACCTATTTTATATATGTATGATATGAGGAAGACTTACGATTATTCAATCTCGAATGGTTTCGAAAGAAAACAATTTAAATTTTATTTTGATACAAAATGATATTCAGATGATTTTGGGTATGAATTCCTTTTATGTTTTTACATGATATTTTACTAAATGGTTTATGAATGACTTTGGGTATGAACTACAAATACATTTTATATTGTATTTTACTAAATGGTTTATGGATAATTTCATGTATGAACTGCCCAATACACCTTATATGATATTTTGATATATTAGTATCTATGGATACTTTTGATAAATAAATGCTATATGATTTTGATATGAAAAACCCATTGTATATGCATTGAAAGTCCTAGGTACAATTGATATGACATGAGATGGAGTGATTATATGGTATACATTTTTACATTCGATGAGGTACATTCGTGTACATTCTATAGGGAACCTAAGGTACATTTGCGTACATTCTCATATTAATCCCGTATAGGAATTTCTGCATGCCTGGTTTTTCCTAAAATGAGCGTATCTTGAGTTCCTAATATCGGATTGATGTAATTCAATAACCATTGGGAAAATAACAGATAGATGGTCATAACTCTAGAAGAAATTTGACCAAATAAAATTAGGATCCCATTAAAAAAATAGTCTGAAGTCTTACTGCTCTGTTATTATTTTTTTACAAAGCTTGGTCGTGTGGATCAATTAGA